ACTGTTTTTAATCAGACTTTCATACTTTTGTACATTAATATGTTATCAGGTAATTGGGTAAGTACGGTACCTTTCAGCATCCAGAGGTGTGTCACATCTGGAGCTGCATAAATAGACCAGAGTGAGACAGATACCCCTTCAGCTTCTGGGATATTTGGCTGCAGAACTCATTCCAAAACTCTGGCACATCTGCAAAAAGCTTTTTTTCTTTCTTGACATACACAAAATTTCCCTGGGTTTGGATTAAGATGCCAAGGCGGATTTTCCCCTCCAACTTCAGATGTAATTTTAGCAGCTAAGTGCTTTCTGTACAAGCCATCTTTTCCTTTTTCATAAAAAGGTTAAAAAGCTGAAATATTACCTTGGACAGAGGAGGCATACCGGGGTTAATAAGAATCACTGTTAGGTACCTCATTCTCTGTGTCATCTTTTTGCGCACAAGTGCTGGATTCATAATAAACTGCATGAGTTCTCTACAGCAAATGATCAGTCTTTTTATTATTTAACTGGAATTTTTTTTCTGTGTTGAAATTTGGTTCATTTGCCAAGGACCCACAAAACCATTACATACCCCTGCATATTGCTGAACCCTGACAGCATAAATAGTGTACATCCCCCAGAACCTGTATGACATGTTTAGGATATTTCTATTTAGTAATTTTCTGTTTAATCTAGGGTATCCTTCCCCTGAGTAGTAAAGCAATTACATAATTAATGGTTACATTCAAACAGAAAGGCTCAGGAGAGAAAAAAGAATTTTTAGGACAACTGTGTCAGACTGGAAAGGAAGTACGCATCAAAAATTCCCTTTCACATTTGATACTTCAAATAGTATTAACTTAAAAGTCCAAATGCAAGTCATTAAGCAAAAAAAATGAACAAAATTAAGAGCAACCTTGCAGGGACAGTGATGAACTGAGAATAAGGACATTGAGGTTCAATTCCGAACTCTTCCCTTGCCAGTATAGCTTTGGGCAGTTTCTTTGTTCCTCAGTTCCTTATCTATTTAATAAGGATATTAATACTCGATTAATTCTACTCCTTGCCTGCATGCCTTTTGAAGGCCTCTTGAAGGTTTTTGTAGTAGAAACTGCTACTTCTGATATCCATAAAACTCTCAGCAAAACAGAGGCCTTCTTTTTGTCACAGATACAAGAAGAATTAAAGGATGGAATCACAATCAGATCTTATGTCTACCGCAGACCTGGTAAAAACTGGTTCAGCATCAGGGTCCATACAATATGTAGTACCAAAGATGGCCCTTCAGAGAGCTTCTAATTAAAGAGCCGACCTGTGGGAGCCAATAAATACAGGGACAGCTATAACAGATCTAGCTAAAAAAACATACAACAAAACATTTCCCTGACCAAAAAAATAAAATAAAATAAAATAAAATAATGTTGCAAATTTTCACCGAGAAAAGTAGGTAAACAGATACTAGTACAATTTCTTGTAACAAATGAAAATCTGATTAAAAATATTAAAATGAAATAGCGTGTCATTTTGAAACCAGTATTTCCATACATATATTCTTTTAGAACTTCTAATTTTTAAAAACATTATGCTTTTTCAATTTTTTATCCTGGTTTATGAAAAACACAGATGCTGATCTACTGAAATTTCTTGTCGGATAAAGTTTTTCTGTGGCTTTTTATGTTTAAACAACAACAGTTTGCTTTTTTTTTGTGGGCCTTTCAAAAATCAGGTTTTTGCTGGAACTTGAATCAAGACAGCTCAAGGCAGTCCAAGTACAGGAACTGCTTATGTGTTCTATTATTAAAGTACATTTCTCTTGACTAGAAATAGTTGCTGCAAGTGTGGAAAGTATTTCCACTATTCAGTATAGCTTCCCTGATAATGCAGATGGTTCAAGCTCTAATTCACATCGTTTATCTAAAGAAACAGTTCAATGGACTGAAATAAGATACATGTGTTTTCAGCATCAGACCATTATTGAATAGTATTTTAAAAGAAACGGAAAGCACTAATTTTACTTGCTTTAGAATTGACAGAGAAAGCCAAATACAGCTACTGTGCAAATGTTTAAAGTAATGGTTAGAAATGTCACTAAAGAAAGAGTTCTAAGTCACAGTAAATCATTGACAGAAATCTCTGCTAAAGACAATACGTCTCTTGTACTGTGCAAAACCTTCTCTCTCAAAATCACAGATTCTTTAGAAAATAATCCACTATTCTTGTTATGTATATGTTGCTATTATAGGGATAAAAGAAACAAATAAACCTATTGCTGCATTACTGTACTGGATACATTTTAAAGGATGTTATGCTTGCATTTTCTAATATTTTTATTTCTTCCATCATGTATAACTTAGTGCAATAAAAATGCCTATGCACTGTATTCTGAAAAGGAACTGTTCTTTACAAATTACAATGAAGGAAATGTTATGTAATATATAGCCTAATAACCTAGACATCTATAAGCATTCAAAATTGCACTGGGGAAGATAATCCAGATGATTTTCTGCTTCCTCTTTCAATACATATCTATATTCTGTGGGAAGTTTACTATAATTATGACTTCGTATTGTGTTTCTATACCCTAAAGATAAATACATTCCTTGAAAAAATAAAGAGCTAAACGTCATGTATTAACTAAAAAATGGACATATTTAATATAGGAGAAAGCTTGGTAAGTATCCTTGAACGTAATAATAATGAATGCTTTTATAAGATCAGTGATATTTTAAAGGAATTCTTTTTTTTTTTTTTTAATGAGTTGCCAGAGGAATTGACAATACCCAGTAGCAATGCTAATATTGTCACAAAAATAAATAAGGCAATGAATGATGCCAATAAAAATAAACTTCCTGTGGATTTGAAGACCACTAATAAAAGTAAACTTTTGCATACTCTGATAATTTTTCACTAACAATGTATCTGTACAGTTGTATGATCTTTAAGAATGTAATTAGCCTATTTTTCTTGTCCTAATTACGAGGCAAAAGGATTCACATGGGTAAAAGGAAAAATGATTTTGTTTAGAAGGGAAATACAAATTACGCCTGAAGCCTAATAAATCCGTTGCCATGACAATCAAGGAGCCTGGTCTTATAAAACCTTTCATAATTTATTCACATGAGTAGTTCTTACTCATACGAGTTGTCCCATTGATTGAAATAGAACTGCTGATGTGAGGAGAGATTTGCAATGGGAAACTTGAATTGAGGATGCAGTCTTTGCTCACATAAAGAGCTGAGGGGACTAGTTCCACAACTAAGAGCTGCTTTCAGCAGTGAAGATGGGAAGATGACATTATGGTTTGTGTTGTCCTTCCTCAGTTTTCCTTATTGGTTCTTATACTAGTCACACATTATAAATGGCAAAATGCACCAAAAATTCACTTTAATGCACACGTAGGCACATTTCAAACCTTTGCTCCTAAAATCAAGAGTGTTTCCTATGAACCCTACAGAAAAACTGTCACACCACAGGAATGTGCATCATTTCTGTTTCTTCCTACTGCAGTGATTTGAAAAAGCTGCATTACTATTCTCTCTCTAACAACTGTCTTATGGAGTCCTTCATCATACAAGGAGAAGATGTATTGGGAACTACCACAAAATCCATGTTCTGAATAGGTTTTAAGCTCTGATTCCTGTTCGTGAGTCCTGGTGTGGCCTTTTTGCTTTGGCTCTTTGCATGCCCCTCACCCTTAAAACCTGCTGCCTAGAACCCATCACCACCATACCCAGCTGGACAGGCCATGACAGCTGCTACACAAAGACACTCCTGGTCCATTTCTAACCCTATTAAAGGCAGTGAGATTTGTAGGGGATTACCCTCAGAGCGGGGACAGATCGTCACCAGTTTTCTTCTCAAGATGCATTACGCTTTCCCTTTTCCAACCCCACTGATCAAACAGAACGCATAAGAAAACAAACATATTTCACAGCACCACTCTTTCATCTTTTGATCTACCCTAACTTCTGAAACAGAGATCCAAGTAAACCAGGCTTTCTGTCTTCCATCTCAGTACACTCACTATATAATTCCAGATCATCTTGGCAATTTCCTGATAATGACCCTAAATTTTGGTATGTCAGGTAGTTAGTTAATAACATCAACTCACACTCCCCTAGCACCTTTCAACCAGGTAGATGAAAGCACATTGCAGCTGTTAATGAAAAACATCTTGCAACATCCACTGAAGCCATGTCTAATAATTCTCAACACTCTGCTAATATATGACAAAAATTACTTGATGTGAGGACATCTCATACTGGGTTTGCTTATTTTATGACTCGGGTGACCAAGAGTATAACATTGCCATAATTCACAGTGGTCATTTTTTGGCTTTATGATGTGTATGAAAGGATCTGCATCTCACTGTACCTCAAACACAAGATCCAAATCTGCGTTTGCTATTTGTTTCCCATGGGAAATAAAATAAACTAAATCTTTTATACCTGCAGATCCTGCAGACATTCAAATCCTTTCCAGAGCTTTTATTTACTCAGTTAATACTTATTCAAAACTATTCTCATGTTGGTACAGAATTTCATTTACCTTCTATTTTTGCCTTCTAGTGGTCAGGGTATGACTGAGATGCAGGGAAGGTATAGCCCCATGACCCCAGAGAGACAGACAGAGCAAGAGAAGGAGGAGGCAGGAGGAGAGGAATAGAGGAGGGGGGGGGAAAGAAAGAGAAACATCAAAGCAAATTCTTAAACATCCTCTTTAGCATGGAAATATATACAATACAGTTACTCATGTTCCAGTCCAAGTGCAAATGACAGCACAGGTGTGCACAAACACACACAGACATACACACTGTCACAAAGCGAGGGAGAAAGGCAGGGATGATCTTACAAAGCTGCTGCAGTAACCAGGACACTTGCTCCTGGAAACCACCATACAAACAAACATTCTTTTATTAGCTTTCTATATTTTTTCAATTTTCATCTGATGGTTGCTGTTATTTTTACCTCTCACCATAGCAGAAAGATGGTTAATATTAAAAGGAAGGAAAAAGGCCTTACCATGCAGTGCATCAGGAAGAGATGAGAAGCACAGAGCATGCTGCAGAGATTAAGCTCAGCATGGCATTCAGATATCCTTTGGAATTGAAGAAAATTGTCCAACCCATTCTTCCTAACAAAGCGGACAAGCTTTCTCTAGGCTTGAATTTTTCACCAGAAGTCAGATCCTTACAGTGCATTATATTTTCTTCTTCAGGAGATATATTTCCTCCAGTTAAGTTTCAGCTCCGCAATGCCATTTCCAATCAGCACTAAGAAGTTCTTCATTCCCAGATTCGTGGTGTCATCAGATGGACTCCATAGAAAATCAAAGAAAGAAAGAAAAAAAGAAAATACCTTACCAAAGCCCTGAAATTACTACGCAGAAAAAGGAGAAATAAAAAAACCACCAACTCCTCATTTATTCTATTATCTATGTGTTTCACAACAACCAGTACTACCTCTTTGGTCTCATATATGCAGTGCTGATTACCTGTAATAAAGGAAGAGGCAAAAACTTTCCCAGTTCACACATGATGCATTTTCATTACTGCTGCTCAACTGTGCACTACCAAACAACCCTTCTCATCCTGAGGAATCTTTAAAACCATCTGACAAAAACATCAGCTGCCCCCTTCCCTTCCCAAAAAACCCATGAATATTAGAATTTCTAGAAAAACGTCAGAGAAAGCTTGACAAATAACCCCAAAATACAAATCGGGTCTAAATGCAAAAGCCTTAAAGCAGGAGCGTTCCTGAGCAAAGAGATGCCTTGCTTGAAGGTTTTGGGGACACACGCACTAAGTCATCATAGGGAAGGAGAAAGGGATAAAGAAGGGGTGGCTAAGGGGGGTTGGAAAGGATGGGGTGGGACCGACTGGGTGTCAGGCAGCAGTGGGATCCTGAGTCACCCTCAGCCTCCTGCCTTCTCACTGACAGCAGCCCGGGTTTCCCCTGCACTTTCTGCAAAGCATATTAATTGATTCTGGTTGCTGAGCAACTAACTCTGGGGAGCCACTTCGACGGCTCCGACTCCGGCACAGCTTCAGCAACAGCAGCAGGGAGAGGGGACGGTCTCCCCCTGTCTCCCTCCTCCTCCCGGGGCTCACTCCCCCTTCCCCAGGACTCCCTCAGCTGCCCCGCAGGGAAGCTTTGCAAGGGAAAAGCCCCCGTTAATGCAGCAGGGAGGGAAGGTGGGTCGCTCCCCCAACCCTGCGCGGCACTGGCAGGACTCGGGCGAGCAGCCCAGCTTCATGCTGACAGCACGGCTGCAGCCCCACAGAGCATCCTCCACCCCGGGCCAGGGGGGCTGGGGCAGCTGTGGGAAACCCACTCGGGCACGGAGAGAGGTAGGTGAACCAGGGTGGTGCAGTTCCCTTCCGAAAAATGAGGCTGGGTTAACCCTCTGGTTCTCCAGGCACGCTGGAAAGATGTCATTAAAATGACAAACTACTGCCATGGTTATGCCAACTGATGGGTTCAAAAGTGAGTTTCCAGTTGAAGCTGTGGCCGCTTAAGCTCTGTCCCTGCAAGAACAGTGTAAATGTATTACTAATTTCTGACCTCCTTATCATGTTGGGCTTCAGACAGAGCAGACATGCCTCTGGCTGAAAGGGCACACAGTAAACCCAAGCCACCATCCAGAGGAATTTGCCCGGATGACTATGTCAGAGACTGCAAAATGGTGCTCTCTGACAAAACCTTGTCACTGCTTTAACCAATGTTTTACATTCATAGAATCATAGAATCATTCAGGTTGGAAGACACCCTTGGGATCATCGAGTCCAACCATCTACCCTACTCTACAAAGTCCTCCCCTACACTATATCCCTCAGTACCCCATCTAAACGTCCCTTAAACACATCCGGGGATGGTGACTCAACCACCTCCCTGGGCAGCCTATTCCAATGCCCGACCACTCTTTCTGTGAAAAATTCCTTCCTAATGTTCAGTCTAAACCTACCCTGTTGGAGCTTGAAGCCGTTCCCTCTTGTTCTGTCCTTAATTACTTGTGAGAAGAGACCAGCACCAACCTCTCTACAGTGTCCTTTCAAGTAGTTGTAGAGAGTGATGAGGTCTCACCTCAGCCTCCTCTTCCTCATACTAAACAGTCCTAGCTCCCTCAGCCGTTCCTCATATGATTTGTCTTCCATCATAGGAGAGAAGCAGCAATGAGGTCATTTAGTTTTGACCCTTAAAAGAAATGGTGTAGCTGGAGCTGACTCCAAGGGGCTCCCTCTTAGAGCACCACGAACGATGGCCCCATAAGAAGGACATAGAAGATTTCTGCAAGGTTGATGCCAAATGGATGGACCTGAATAGGGCCTGACCACTGCAATTTGTGGCAGGGCTTCCACTAACCTCTGTGACAGCAGGACCTGAAAAAAGATGTCCAAAGCAACCCAGTGTCCGAAACAAGACATTTCTCTTGTTCTCTCATTTTGGATAAATCCTTAGTCAGATCATGGCATTTGTTCAGCACTGACTAAGCTCTCTTTCCGTTGCACAGGTAAGATGTAAGAAATGGAAAGACCTCAAGATTTCTCTCCCTGCGACCTGGCAGTAAGCGCAATATCAGATCTTGGCCAAACTGCTCACGCGTGATTACTGTCAAAGACCTGAGCTAGGTCAGCTCTTTATTTCTATTATAGTGATAGGACAAGTTAAAGGGCAAGGCCCTGAGAAATGCCTTAGCCTGCAGTCACATAAATAAACTGAATTATCCAATTCTTCCCTTGAAAAACTCCAACCTATAACTTATGTGTGCTATCTAAAGGCAAACACAAGTTCTTTGTGAAAAGGGGACAGTTTATCTTAAGCAAAAGAGTAACTTTTCTGACAGTAGCTTAGCCCCATCATACTCTGCTTTTATGCTTTATAAACAGAGATCTACAGTTTAGCCTCATTTTCTTAGCAGAGACAGATGCAGAGACAGAATTTGTATATATTCAAAGCTCAGGAAGAACTACTAGATCAGGTTAGCAGAGATGCTATATGAAACAGGTAGCAAGAAATATTTAGTTCATCCAATATGTCTATTGATATGAGCATATACTGGGTATTCCTAATTCCCCAAGTACAGCGTATAGGGAAATATGGGAAATTCAGTATTGATATAGTAAATAAAAGTCATTTAGCCTCCTATAACAACAGAATACAGCAGGATATTCCTCAGGAAGAGCTCCTGTAGTTCACCTGCTCCATGAAAATGTCTTTTGAGGTCTTAACATCCTAAACATAGGTTAAACATATTAAAACACACTAAACCCACACATAATAAACAGACTGTTCTTGATCATAACAATTTATGTAATTAATTTAGTATCATTGATTCTCCCTTTATCTCTTCTTCTGACTCTTTGGACATTTCCTTTGACTATCTGTCATAGCATCCCATCTTCGTTCCCGGACAGGAATAAATCCAACAAGGTTTTCTCTAGCAGTGGTTGATGCAAATAGTGCACTTTCTTGTGTGTCACTGTTCATATATAACATTACTTCCTTTAGCCCACAAGTTTACTTGCAACAAAGTGCTGAAGAATGACAAATAACCAGGATTGAAAGGGAGCTAGTCCACCTCTGTCTCACAGCAGGATCAATCACACAGATGCTAATCCTGGGAAATGGCTTTCTAACCAGTGCTTACTGGTCTCCTTTCTGGAGTCTCCATGCTTGTAAAATACGATTTATTCCAGTGCCTCATGACTAACTACAAAAAGGGTATTTCTAAGCTCCATTGCTGCAAAGTTAAACACACCGTGTCTTGTCCTCTTCACAACGATTAAGGAAAATCTCTCCTCCATTCCTCCTTGCAACTACCTTTTATGTATATAAAATCCATTGTATCTCTTCTCAGTCTCTTCCCTTTCTAGATTAAAAACTTGCCTGAGCCTCTACTCTTCTGTTACTTTTTAGGGAATGGTTTATCACTGACCTCTGGATCATAGGAGTACAGAAAACTGAGTGTGACATTACACATGTATAGGGATGCACGTTAATGCGTGCATAAGTAAAAGGTACCAAAGAGACAGCATCTTGCTTAGGAAGTGAGTCGTAATATAGGAACAGGAAAACATGGGGAAAAGAGACGATTTTTTTCCCTTGAATTTGTATAATTATTTATGAAATACTAAATAGAAGAGGGAAGCTAGCACAAGATCTCAGGTAGATAAAAGATATGGAAATAGTGAAAAGATTAGGGGGGAGTAAGTGCTTGGGAGTGATGAAAAGCTGGAAAACATGTGAACATATAGACTAATGGAACAAGGAGAGGTGGAGAGATTTCCCAAATCCTTACAAAGAAATTAAGTCTACATGAACGTATTTCACCATACATATAGTAAAGAAAGATTTGTTTCAACATGATAAGCTGTAGTTGTTGCCTTGTTTTGTACTTTATTTTCACGAGGCAGAATACCAAATAGTGTTGAAGCTCTCTGTACTGGAGCAAATATCATAAAAAGTGCTAGGGAAGGGCAGTTGAAGGGTAAACAAAAAAACAAAGCAACGATAGGAAGGAAGCAAGTCAACAACTGGTGATTTCAAAATGATAGCAAACTGTTTGGCATGTAAGAAGGAACCATCAGATTACTAAAAGAAATTGTAGGAGAGGTAGGTTTGGAGATGTTAATATTTGTGCAATTTTTCTTTCATTTTTTATTTTTAGAAAATGTAAAAAGCTGCTTAAATAAAATTCAGTCTCTTACAGAAAGCAAGTACAGCATCTCTCTTTCACCTATACAAGGATTGAATTTAATCTCATATAAATGCTTTTTATTATGCATTGAAAAGGATGACTAATACACATGCTCTGTTTCTATTCCATATTCTATTTATCTTCTCTCTTCCCACCTTTCTACCCGTTCAATAGTAGCATTATCCTCCTTGAGAAAGTGAGTGCCTTGTGAGACTAAGAACCAGAGCAAGCTAGGACCCAGTGACCCCTCATCCCCCAGGGGAATGGTAGAACTGGTGTCCCACCAAAACCATGTCTGTTACTGCAGCCGAATCAGACTGGCAACATCCCTCCATGTTCAAGCCCTGTGAGGGCCCATACTGCAAGACCTTGGGCATCAAAATAATGGGGAGATGCAATAAGCCTTGGCAACTGGTTGGGCAGAAACCCATTTCAGATCTTAGACTGGCTCCTCTGTGTTGCTGAGACCTGATAATAAGAGAAAGTCTCCAGGAAGACAAATAGGAAGAAAAAAGATGCTCTATCAATATGTTCTAGTCCAGGGTGTAGGAAGGGACCAAGTGGAAGGAAGACATTTCAAGCACGTGAGTGAGGGCTGCAGGAAGAGCCAAGTGGTGGTC